AGATTGTTGGTTTAGGAGGTGACTCCAAAAGGCACTCTGAAAGATTGGAGAAGCGAGACAGGAAAAGAAGGGTAGACATTAAGGGTGTATTAATGAGGGGTCACTATGTGGGCAACTGGGCTTAGTCCTGCTGTGAAGCATCTGGAAAACTGTGAAACATGCTTCAGAATTGTCTCACTAAGCAAAGAAGCTAAGGTGTTAACTCACCAACTCTTTACCTCTTTAGGATGTTAACACTCCTGGCACTCCTACCCAGCCCAGTGCTTGGAAAACACACTGAAAGAGTGCACTCAGGGAGACACAGGCTGTCCTTCTCACCCACTAGAACTCTCTGAAAGCAAACTCCCAAGTAGGCCCAAAAGATTTGAGCCCAGTATGGATAACATCGACTACTGTGTGTGAACCCAAAAGTTCAGACTCACTGACTGGACTGAGAAACCAGGAGTGAAAGTATATCCAGGCTTCCTCTGCATACTCTGTTGCCCTTAAGCAACTTCTCTGCATCCTGCTTTGCTTTTAGCACCTGAAGGATAGAGGGGGAAAGGCTGATTTCAAGACTAATGATGTCTTGAAGTGGGCAGTTATAGCTGTAATCATTCAAGTATTATTTGATGAAAGAAACTTTTTGAAGTCTAAAAATTAATGTATTTGCCATGTGAGAAAGCTGAATATTTTTAAAAAGCACAATTTTATATCTCTGTCCTGAATTGATTTTCTCAGCAGTTTCTCATGACAGTACCAGGACCGATTATAGACTGCTCAAATCTATTCCTTCCCATCCCTCCCTTATCACACGTCACATGCAATGTGATGTCATCCCTTGTTATGAGAGAGGACAACAACCACACCTCACATAGGTATGCTTTCTGCTTAGTGCCTGGAAGAGTGCCCTACAGAGGCACATATCCAACATGGTGTTGACTGAATAGATGGAGGGTGAGAGGAGAGGAGACATGCACAAGCTGGGGGTCTAGAGCCTGGTGAGAAACTGACAGCTTGGCAAACCCAGGAAGTGAATATCCAAGACGACAGGCATTCAGGGCCTGCAAAAAATATATAAGTATAAAGGCTATTGTAAGAAAAAAAAAAATCAGTCCCTGCAGAAAGTAGAGTCTCAGCCTCAAGCTGCCTTCTGAACCAGAGAGGAGCTTCAGGTTTTCCCAGGCTGGCACCATGCCAGCTGGATGAGCTCAGGTTGAAATAACGGAGCAGAAGATGGGAAATAACTAACTGAGGTGGAGCAGGTTCCTAGGTGCCTGCAACATTCCAGACACTTTTAAAGGTATAATATGTCTGAAAACCTAACTCATTAGAATGTATATCATGGCATTATCTTAATAGAGACAATTTAGAAACATCCTAGGTATCTATTAATAGAGGAGTAGTCACTGCATGTGTATGTTATGTGGAACATCCCAGGGTACATTAGAAGCGTTGTATGTTAGTGTAATTAATGCTAACCGTAACAACCTAAAAATCTGGATGGTTTAACCCAAAAGCTCAGTTCTCACACACATAAAGTCCAACATAGAGATCCATGGTCTCTCTTCTTCAAGCAGAGAATCAGAGACTTTGACTTTTTCCATCATGAAACACCACTATCTTCTGGGGCCTCCTTGAAGTTTTCCACTGTAGCCTCTGCCTTCAGCCTGGCCCTCGACACAAAAGTGGACCAAGACTGGATGTTGTGTCTGTTACCTCTTCCCAGGTTGTGTTGGTAAGACCCAGGTGTCTGACTCCAACCTAAGTCAGGAAGAAAACAATGCATCAATGACCTGTTGAGGAAAAGGAGTAGGAGGGATATACCCTTCTGTACATTTTGGATGTTGTAAACCCAAATATTAATTGTTCAAAGAAATTACTTAATTGAAAAGGGGGAACTAGTAAATTTATGGTTCATCTGTACTATGAAATGTTACACAACAGTAAGAACAAAATAGATCTGTATATGCTAGAATAGAATGATCCATAATTAAGATAAACAAGTTGTAAAATAAATTAGATTTCTACATGTGTATACATATATTAAATACGTTCGGGGAGGCGCACAGAAGTGCAATGCACATTTGTTTCTGGGTATTGTTTGAACTCTTTATTAAAAGAAATCCTGTATAACACAATGAATTTAAGTTCTTTAAAGCAATTCACTAAGATTCATTCTACAAGGTATTGTAGGGGTCCATAAACAAATCTCAACTGCATTAATCAAAATGAAAATTAAAACTGAAATAAGATACAATTTGACCCCCACCAATAGGCAAAAATTAAAAAGCCAGAGAATACTTATTAACCTTGATGAGGAACAATAGAAACTCTCATCCTCCGCTATTTGGAATGTAAATTGATGCAACGTCTTTGGAGAACAATTTGATATGACCCAGCAAAGTAGAACCTATGCCTTCCCTGAAGCCTGACAATTCCACTCCTAAATCTACACCCTCTCATAAACTTTTGTACATATATTCCAAGTAATATATACTAGAATACTTACATCAACATGTTTTGTAATGACTAAAAAATAAGTAAAGGAGATCACTCAAATAGAAAGTAAAAATATTCACACCATGGATATTGTACAGCAGCAGAAATGTACTAAAGCTATGTAAAATAACTTAGATGAATCTCAAAACAATGCTGATAGAAACAAAGTCACAGAGGAATACATTGAGTAGGACTGCATTCACAAAAAAAGATCAAAGAAAGCACACGAATAAATTGTTACGTATTGTATACTTAAGAAGAGCAAGGAAACAACAAAGAAATTCAAGTTCATTTTTGTTTTTTTTTTGAGTTGGAGTCTCACTCTGTCGCCCAGACTGGAGTGCAGTGGCCGCTCCCAGCCACCGCAGCCTCGACCTGCTGGGCTCCGGCAATCCTTCCGCCTCAGCCTTCCAAGTAGCCGGAATTACAGGCATGCGCTCCCACGCCCGGCTGAATTTTTGATTTATTGTAGAGATGAGGTCTCGCTGCCCAGGCAGGTCTCGAACCCACGGGCTCAGGCAATCCACTCACCTCAGCCTCCAATGATTAGCTGTAGGGGGAAGGAGGGGACTGCAGCCAGGGTAGGGCATAGAGAGGACTTAAAAGATACACGAAATATTTTATTTCTAAACCTGGGTGGGAGGTACACAAATGCTCAACTATTCATGTATGTGTATGTGCTCTTTCTAAGTGTATTTAAGAATTTAAAGTTTGGTTGTTTACCTTTCAGGTAATACTAGTGTTTGCAGCCACACCCCAACCCTTTCCCTCTTGCACACTGAAGGAACTTCCAACACGCTCCACTCCCACTTGGCCTTGCTGTGCCTCCCTCGGCCCCTGTGTTCAGGCTGTTCCTCCTTCCAGTAATGCCGTGTGTCTTCTGCTCCACCTGTCCAGGTCTTACCTGCTCTGCCAGTTTCAGCTGATGGCCCATCCTCTCTGCCCTCGCTTCCTTGAATGTTTTTTTCTAAGATTGTTCCAGCCCTGAGGGCAGTTGTATACGCTTACCACCTCACCCAGACCTTTTCTGGGCACTTAACCTGTGCTGCCATGCACCCATAGTCTTCTCTTTTTGTGAATATTCTGTATTTTGAGCTAGGTTGTGGGTCCCTGGTGAGGAGTGGGGATATCCTATGCCTAGAAAGGAAATAAAACACTCTTCTGGGGTTTTGGGTTTTTGCCCACCTTAAGCCCTGTCAGCACAATAACAGTCTGGAAATGTATGAAGAGCTGCTTTTCTTCCCTTTTAAGAAAAATTTGCAAAAATGTATATACCAGTTAATTCTCAAGCTTTGGTCAGGAGTATCAGAACCTCTAAGAGTCATCTGTAATTTACAAAAAGATTCAAAACTACAGAACTGAATACTAAACCCAAGGACTGAATACTCGTATTTATCTTCTGAAAACTTGGTATCCCCCACTCTCTAAACTCAGGAACTGAATAGATTCAGATAGCATGAAATATGATATCTATTTTTATAATATAAATTCAGATAAAAAGCCCAATAAAATCTTCAGAGTAACAATTAGATGTAAGTGCTTATAATGTGCCAGGCAACGCACTGAGGGATATATAAATACCTCATTTAATGAGTACAATAGCCTCGTGAGTTTTTAATGCCAGTTTTACAAATGAGGAAAACTCAAAAAGGTTTTGAAAGTAAATGGGCCTCCAGAAATTCCTGGAAGTGCTTAGCACAGTACCTGGCTTATTTTAAGTGTTGAATAAGTGATGGCTGCTATTTATTGGTTTATGGGAAGAGAGTAAGAACGCATTACAGAGACAGAGGTTGAGCAACTGTGCCTTATGGTTTGACTCAGGTCTGCTTACTCAGGAAAACCAGGAAAAATAGACATCTGCATGATGTCATTCACACCATACCACTGCTGCATCATTACTTGCCCATAACACCGCCTAATTTCTCATTGCAAAAGCTTTCTCCTTGATTCCTAGTGGATGGTGAAGACTTGTTTGCCTACAGTACCCAACCTGAACAAGTAAGACTTGGGGTCTTCCAAAATTAGAGAGGCCTTTGCCTGTGTGGGCATTGAGTTGGAAACTTTAGGTCACCAAGAAATGGGGAGTGTCCTTTAGTCTGTATCAAATGCAAGGACCAAATACTAATGAACTAGTCTCTATATGCCAGCTGTGAGCTCTAAAGAGAAGAGCATCTTCCACGATCAAAAGAACCTGGACCCCTTTGTTTCCCTGATGAATGGCAGTGAAACATGGCAGAGGAGGAGATACCCATGTCCTTAGAGTAGAATCTAAGCTCTGACAACCCCATCCAGCAGGCAGAAAATATATCCTATCATTATCAGATTCTTCTGGTTCAAATGGTCTTTTGGAGTAACCTGTATGGGTAAATGCTAACCTGTTAGTTCTGCCTCCCCAGGCTTTCTCCCTCTCCCCCCACCCCCACTGAGTGTCTAGTTGGGCATGAATATAATAAAGCCCTACACTGACCCCTTACATGGAGTTACACTAAAATGTCCTACAGAATGTCCTGCCTAAGCACTTAATGCCTTCAAATCTTAGATGGCAAAAGAGCTTCTCCTTGCCCCATAATGGCATGGGGATATATTATAGAGCCAGTACAGAGAGAGTTGGAATGAAAAGCCTGCAGAGGTGGAACTTTGTGGCTGAAAGAAAATGGTTGGAACCACGGACCTCAGTTCTGGGTGCTGACAACATATTCCAAAGGTCAGACCAGGCCCATGGCATCTCAACAGGCGACACATAGGAACTCAGGAATCAGACCAGGCCAAGAGCTCCATGGCAGGTCAGAGGTCAATAGAAGAACCTGCTCACAGAGATTCAAGACAGACTTTTCCTTCTTCCATGAGGTCACATGAGCCTTCTCTTTCCCACAATCTCAGAGACCATCTTGGCAAGATGAGGGGGAAAGGGAAGGAGACCTAAAAAGCAGCATTTAACTAAGAGAGACCATGTTACCCACAAGGACACTGTGCAAAATAGTCTGATGTATCATTAATTGGCAAGACTAAATTTCCCCTTCCCACCCAGAAGGGTGGGGCTCATGATACAGATTAGACTATAGAAAGCAAGCTACATTGTCTTTGCACTTCTAACTTGCAGGGTGATAAATGTGCATACCCATTCTAATTTTTTTGTTCTTTAAAAGATAGGTCTAACACGTGAAGTGTCCAGTTACAGCCAGTTCTTCCACGAAGCCAGATACACCCACAGAGCTAGCTGTGGACAGGAAAGGGGGCCCTTGTGACAGGAGCAGTAATGATATAGGGCAGACTGCGAGGACTGTTCAACAGTAAAGTGGGCAGGACCCATAGCAGAGCCAGAAGCAGACCATTCGTGGTCATGGTGGAGGGCTTGTGACAAACCCATTTTGTCTGTTAGGACTCTTGATTGCTAATGGCAGAAAACCCACATGGGTTAGGATGTCAGCATTCCTTCTGTAACAGTGGGCAGATAGAAATCTGTTTCTCTCTGACATTAAAGTCTGAATGTAAGCAGTCCTGGCTGATGGTTCAACTCCATATTATCAGGGACCCAGGCTTTTCCCATCCTGCTTCTGCATCTGCAACAGGCAGCTTCTGGCTCCCACCATCCCACCCACGATTCTGCAGCATGAGGTGGGTAAGGAAAATAGAGGGCATGTGCCTTTTTGTTAAGGTCACCAATTAAAAGTTGAACATATCACTTCCCTTTACATACCACTGCCCAAAACCTAATCACATGTTCATACAGAGGGTCTCAGTTAGATATTGCCACAAAGATGCCAGGTGACAAAACAACCACAAAATATCAAGGCAGCCGGGCTTGGTGGCTCAGCCTGTAATCCCGTGCTTTGGGAGGCTGAGGTGAGTGGATTGGATGAGCCCGTGGATTTGAGACCCGCCTGGGCAACTTGGCGAGACCTCGTTGCTACAATAAATCAAAAAATTAGCCTGGCATGGTAGCACGCACCTGTAGTTCCAGCTACTTGGAAGGCTGAGGCGGAAGGATCGCTGGAGCCCAGCAAGTCGAGGCTGTGGTAGCTGGGAGCGTGCCACTGCACTCCAGTCTGAGCGACAGAGTGAGACTCCAACTAAAAAAAAAAAAAAAAAAAAATCAATGGCAAACAACAGTAAGCATTTATTTCTTGTTCAAGCACCTGCAGATCAGCTGGTATTTGGCTGATCTACACCGAATTCAGCTGGGCTTGGTCCTAGGCTGCAGCTTGAACTCGAGTCTGTTCCATATGTTTCTCATCTTCTGCCACCAGCAAGCTTTGTAGGACATGTGCTCCTCATGGTAATGACTCTCATTTAATAACAGCATACATATGCATCTGTATGAAAGTCATGTGCATACATTAGGAGCAATGAGAAGAAGGTGAACTTAGAGCAAGATTGGTGATCTGGCTTAGACCTGAGCCCACTGCCTTCTGAATTGACCTATCTGGGGTCAGAATGGCAAGATGCAAGCCTCAGCCCACCCAATTACACAAACGCATTTAAAACCTTTGCTTGGATTATGTATTCTAATATCCCTTTGGCCAATGCAAATCATATAGCCATGTCCAATACCAGTGGGACAGGAAATATGCTACTCTCATGGAGGAACAGCAGGAGGAAAGGAGTAAATGTTTTTATGTATTTATTTAATAATGTATTTATATATTTACTGAGTCAGAGTCTCATTCTGTTGCCCAGGCTGGAGTGCAGTGGCACGTTTACAGCCACCACAGCATTGACCTGCTGGATTCAGCTGATCCTTCCACCTCAGCCTTTCAAGTAGCTGGAACCACAAGCGTGCTTCACCATGCCCAGCTAATTATTTTTTATTTATTGTAGAGATGAGGTCTGGCCAAGTTGCCCATACTGGTCTCGTATCCCTGGGTTCAGGCAATCCTCTCACCTTCACCTTCCAAAGTACTGAGATTACAGGCATGAGCCACCATGCCCGGCCAATGTTTTATAAACAATAATCTAGTTTACCAACCCTTGCCACATAAGACTCTAAGAAATATGGTCTTTAGCTGGGTGGTCATATACTCTGTTAAAACTCTGGAGTTGACCATTGCTTTGTTCAACTCTAGGGTGTCCATGTAGCTCTTTGAGATAGCTGCCATGTTTCTGAGCTTTGGCCCCCTTTCCTTCCTTGGGGAGGTAAATCTCCCCTCTTTCTCTCTAATTTACTCCAAATAAACTATATTTTCCAAACTCAAACAAACAAACAAAAAAAACTCTGGAGTTCTGTTCTTTCTAGTGAAAGAAAGAGAAGCTGGATGCCAGGGACAGATTGTGTTATAATGTGTATAAGTCAGGAGGCCACTTCTATTTCCAGTTCAGTGGAATCACCAGGATTCCAAAACCCACCAAGTCCAAGGTTGCAGAGACAAGAAGCACAAAAATGTCTTTGTGGCTTATTTGTTGCAACAGTGAATACACTAGTAGTTACAACAAATAAACCTCTTTTATCCTTTATTTCCTGCTATGGTTTGGGTGTGTCCCCAGAATTCATGAGTTGGAAATTGAGTTCCTGGTGTGGCAGTGTTGAGAAGTGGAGCTGTTGAGAGGTGATTAGGTCATTGAGAGGAATTAATGCTACTCTTGTGGAACCAGGCTAATTCTCTTGGGAGTGAGTGAGTTCTCACACTTTTAGGACTAGATTAATTGCTGTAAGAGTGAGTTCTTATAAAGTGAAACCACCCCTTATATTTTGCCCATTTCACGTGTTTCTGCTTCCCCTTCTGCTTCTCTGCCATGTTATGACTCAACACAAGGCCCTTACCAGAAGTTGCCCAGATGTAGTCATCTGATCTTAGATTTCTCAGTCTCTAGAAACATGAGCCAAAATAAGCCTTTTTATAAATTTCCCAATCTCAGATATTCTGGTATAGTAACAGAAAACAGTCTAAGACATATCCCAAAACCATGCATTCTGCTTATAGGAGAGATACCATATATTGGCTGCTGATTTAAGGCTTATAAACCAAGATGTAAACAGTTCAATCTACTGTTCTGCCATATCAGCTTTCTGGATGACAGGCATGTAATAAATAAGGCCAGGAATCCTGAGAGTGTGAAGTCACTGACACAATTTATTTGCCATACAATGTCCCTTAGTTGGCAGTAGTGTCATGTGAAATATCATAGTAATGGATAAAGCATTCTGTAGGACTGTAAACTGGTTATGCTGGCAGAAATACTGCAGGGAGGGGAGGCAATTCCTTTTCCGTGGTATGTGTCTATTCCTAAAGACAAATAACTTCCTCAACATGATGACAGGCATTTGATAACCTGGAATCAGGCTGATTTCCCTGGAAATAGTGCCATTTCTCGTCTTAGTACAGCCTCTGAATAAACAAGTTGGGTACTAGGCAGTACTTGGGGGAAATGATAAAGCACTAAATGCCTACACAACAAAAGAAGAATGGTTGCAGATCAAATGACCTCAGCTTCCATCTTAAGAGATAGTGAGGGGGAGAAAAGAGCAAATTGAACTCGAAGTAAGCAGAAGAAAAGAAATTATAACAATAAGAGTGGAAATCCATGAAATAGTAAAAAAAAAAAAAAATAGAGAAGAATCAATAAAACCAAAATCTGACTCTGTGGGAAAATACAACTCTAGAAACTTGTTAAACATCTAGTCAGACTGATCAGGAAAAAAAGAGAGAAGACACAAATTACCAATATTGGGAATGAGAGGGGTAACATCACTATAGTTTTTACAGATATTAAAGGGACAACATGGGACTATTATGAACAACTTTATTCCAATAAATTCAACAACTTAGATGAAATTCCTTAAAAGACATAAACTATCAAAGCTCACATAAAAAGAAAAGACAACCTGAAAAGATTTACATATATTAAAAAATATGAGCCTGCCGAGCCTGGTGGCTCAGCCTGTAATCCCGCGCCTTTGGGAGGCTGAGGTGAGTGGATTGCCTGAGCCCGCGGGTTCAAGACCCGCCTGGGCAGCGAGACCTCATCTCTACAATAAAATCAAAAAATTAGCTGGGCGTGGTAGCGCACCCCTGTAGTTCCGGCTACTCGGAAGGCTGAGGTGGAAGGATCGCCGGAGCCCAGCAGGTCGAGGCTACGGTGCCCGGGAGCAGCCACTGCACTCCAGTCTGGGCGACAGAGTGAGACTCCAACTCAAAATAAAATATGAGCCTGTAGTGAATCCCTCCCACAAAGAAAATGGTGGCAGTAGCCAGGTCTGTTTGGTGAGGGCAAGACTATATTGCTAATACCATACATAGTCTCCTTCCCTGTTACCATGGCCGCTTTGTAAATGGGCCTATTGAGTAAGCACCAAAGCATCTGAGAAAAAGGTCAACTGATGTGCACAGGTTGGGTCATCTTGTCCTTCTGACATCTGAGAGTCTCATTCACAACAGATGTCCTTGGATGAGGATTTCTGTGACATACGTAGCATGCTTGACATTCTGCAGGAAGTCTGTATGTGTATCGTTCCCCTAGAGCTCCTTGCCACCGATATTCTAATCTTGTTCTTTCCAAATCCCTGACCAACCTACTAGCCACTGCCCACAAGTTAAGTTGGATCTGGTCCTCAGGTAGATCAGCAACAGAGTACTGCCCACTGGCTAACATCCTTTCATCACTGGCTTTTGAAGCCACTCAAGAGTGGCCTGGTGTGCAACAGTTATCCACTTCTGGTTGATTCCAGCATACTGTGTAGATTCTTCTCCTCCATTAACTGATCATATGTGTTTCCTTTGAGGGCAAGGGAGGCATCCTCTTTCCTTGGTCTCCCAAGCTGGAATTACAGGTGCAGACCACCACACTCAGCTGATAATTTGCTTATCTGTGATGACATGGAATGTTATAGATTCTCAGGATCCAATTATCCTCCAGTAAGGAGGCTATCCGTGCCCTCTAATATATATGAGCAACTCTATTCTGGAATCCTATGTTAAGGCCATTCCAGTCAGATCCCAACAGTAAACAAATGGCACTCTCAAAATGGATAATTTGAGGACAGTTTAATAAAGGCAAATAGGCATGGGCAGCGTATAGAGAAACCAAACGGAATAACGCAGTACTCTAGGATTAGCAACCTCAGGGAGCCCTCACCACCCTGGGCCTGTAGGAGCCAGGGGATGGAGGCCTACTCAAAACAGAGAAAGTGATGGAGAAGGCTTCCTGAAAGTAGCTGTAGTCTTTTGTAGACAGGACTAGTCAGCCCTCAGTAACCCCACAAAAGAAAGCCAAGGGAATAAATACACTGAATTCATTCTCTTCCTGCTTTCTGATCTCCCACTGGTCCTCCCATTGACCAATCCCAACAGGAAACCAAAAAGTAAGGGCAGCCTGCTTATGTATTCTTCCTTGAAGGTCAATATCTTGGGGCACCGAGCCTGATGGAGAATGAGAGGGAGGAGATGTAGAAGAGAAGGCAGCCGGGCTCGGTGGCTCAGCCCGTAATCCCGCGCCTTTGGGAGGCTGAGGTGAGCGGATTGCCTGAGCCCGCGGATTCGAGACCCACCTGGGCAGCGAGACCTCATCTCTACAATAAATTAAAAAAAAATCAGCCGGGCATGGTAGCGCACGCCTGTAATTCTGGCTACTTGGAAGGCTGAGACAGAAGGATCACCAGTGCCCAGCAGGTCAAGGCTGCGGTGGCCGGGAGCAGCCACTGCACTCCAGTCTGGGCGACAGAGTGAGACTCCAACTCAAAAAAAAAAAAAAGAAGAGAAGGCAGATAATATCTAGCACACAACACAAACTAATTTAAATAAACAGGGATTTTGCTGGCTCATGCATCTGAAAATTCCAGCGGTAAGGCTTAAAAGCAGTGGCTCACATGGTGTCATTAGTATCTGGTTTTCCTCCATTTATAGGCTTCATACACAAATGGGCTCTCCCATCATGTTCAGAAGTGACTCCAGAACTTACAGCATTGTTCATTCACTCACAGCAGGATCTACCAAGGGATTCATTGTGTCTCATTGACTCTGGTTGAGTCACATGACATGCCTGAACCAAGCATAGTGCTCAAGGGAAGGCCAGTAATATTGAAGGTTTGGTTTAGCTGTGTGTGGAGCTGGGGTTGAGAGAAATCAAACTTGAATGAGGAGGAGGAGGAATGTTGATGCTGGGTAGACAAAACACCATGTACCTTGTATCTGCCTTCTCAAATGCATAGGGCAGACTTTCTCAACCTTTCTGTACCTATACATCACTTGAGCCTCCTACCAAAGTGCAGAATCGGTTTAATTAGGGTGGAAGGTGGCCTGAGAGTCCTTATTTCTTTCTTTCTTTTTTCTAGATTAGAAAATGTAGTTTATATAGAAAGTAAGTTAGAAACAGAAGAGGTAGGGGAGGGGGCCAAAGCCAAGTAACATGGTGGTCATAGCTCAAAGAGCCACGCAGACTCACCAGAATTTAACAAAACAATGATTGAGAGTTCTTACTTCTGATAGGTAATGTCAATATTACTGATCAGGCCACGTATGGTGGCTCGTGCCTATAATACCAGCACTTTGGGGAAGTCAAAGACTTGAGCCTAGGAAATCAAGACCAGCCTGGGCAACATAGCAAGAACCTGTCTCTACAAAAATAAAAATATTACCGGTCTAGGGAACCACACTTTGAGAAGCAGGATTCTATAGAAGTACAATCCAATAGGGTAGTCACTAGCCACATGTAGCAATTGAGGACTTGAAATGTGACTAGTCCAAAATGAGATGTGTTATAGTGTAAAATACACAATGGATTTTTAAGATTCACTGTGAAAAAAATGTAAAATCTCATCAATAGTTTTTATATAGATTATATACTGACTTGATATTTTAGATATGAGGGGGGACCCCCCCCAAAAAAGCCTGGAATTATATTTTGGAGGGTGGGCACCTTGAGGTATCCTTAGAATTTGTTCTTCTGGATCAAACAGTCAACCAAAATTTCTATCTGAAAGTTTTGAGAAGGTTGCAATGAAGATTTGCAGAAGAAGCGTTCTGAGTTGTAGCAAACAGATGACTGGTTCCTTCACCATGACAATGCACCTGTCCACACCAAATTGAGTGTTCAGCAGTTTTTGACCAAAACTAGCATATCCTCTGTGCCCACCCGCCTCATTCACCTGATCTCACCTCCAAGGGACTTTTTTTGTTTGTTTGTTTCTCTGGATGAAAAAAGTCCTCAAAAGCAAATGTTTTGCAGATGTATAAGAGGTAAACCAAAAAATGGCAGAAACACTAAAAGGCATCAAAGTTGACAAGTTCAAAAACTGTTCTGAGCAGTGGAAAAGCATCTCAGTAGGTGTATTGCATCAAACGGAGAGTACTTTGAAAGTGTCTGAAGTTTAAATACGTAAGAATAGATATACATTTTTTAAATAAATAAATTCTGTTTTGGGGGTTCTCCCTCATATATTTGGTTAAATAAAATATATTATTATTAAAATTAAATTCACCCCTTCTTTTTACTTTTTTATGTGGCTATAAGAAATTTTTAAATAATATATGTGGCTCAGATTATATTTATGTTGGATACTCCTGTTTTAGAAAGAGATAACTAATTTTAATTTTTTTTGTAGAGGCAGGGTTCTTGCTATGATGCCCAGGCTGGTCTCGAACTCCTGGTCTCAAGTAATCTTCCCACCTTGGCTTCCCAACCTGCCAGGTGCAGATGTGAGCCACCACGCCTGGCCTAATAAACGGTAACTCTTGAAGTAGATGACACTGATGTCCTTAAAATACATTCATTTTCACTGATGAATAAGCAACCAGAAGAGCCTCACTAAACCAGAGCCCTATCAGATTTACCTCATGGGTCCCTGGCCTTTGCCCTCCCTCAGGCCCTCATGATCTCAGGGTTAGATAAATACAATTTGAATTGCTGCATGAGGACTGGAATGGGCCATTTGATATCATATTAAGTTGAAAGAGGAAAGAAGAACCCAGGGACCCCAGATTCCCCTTCCCACCCAGCAGTCTCTTCATTTCTCATTTTTGAGTAGTTCCCTGAAGAAGAAAGTTCAACTGTGCTTATCAGCTTCCCAAATCTGTCTTGCATAAAACCACTAAACTAATTTTCTCCACCCTCTGGTTTTAACAGTTCTTTTCAAAACAGACACAGTCCAGGCACTCTGCTGTAGCCTGAGTTCTACAGGCCTGAATCTAGTCCTACCAGTGTGTTCTCTGCTCCTAAACGTGCCTCTCATATCTCCCTTCTGCTTAAATTACTTCCTTTCTGCTCGAATCTCCTTCTTCTCCTGTTGATCTCTCCGCTGTCAATTCTACTTTCAAAGTCCACCTCAAGGTCATCTACCTCCAGCAGCCTTTTCAAGACTTCTGGCCCATAGTAGCCCATCTGTGGGATTTGTGGGACATGCTGCCTTTGGCACAAGCCAGCACATTTGCTGTGGAGGGCTCTGTTTTCTAACTTTTTAGTTATTCAGGTTTTCCTGCATCTATGCCTTGATTTTTCCATTGGGCTTTAAGTTTCTTGAGGACAGAGACATGCCTAGCTTATCTTTGTATTCTGCTTTCAGCCAGAACCAGTATAGTAAGTAGGTCCTCAAAAATTAAGTAATCCATTTTCCAACATGAAATGGTGGTTGAAAATACATACACCTTTACATAGGCATAAATGAATATTATCAGTGATCACTTTTATAATGAAAAGTATTTTAGTTAAGAAAAAATGAAAAATTAAGCTTTAGTCATACATCCAGGAGCAGATGATACAAACAAATGGAAAAACATTTCATGCTTATGTGTTAAAAGAATCAGTATTGTTAAAATGTCCATACTGCCTAAAGTAATCTACAAGTTCAACGCAATTCCTGTCAAACTACTAGAATCATTTTTTACAGATTTAGAAAAAATACTTAAATTTATATGGAAACATAAAAAAGCCTGAATAGCCAAAGCCATCCTAAGCAAAAAGAACAAAGCTGGAGGCATCCGTTGCCAGACTTCAAACTTTACTATAAGGCTATAGTAATCAGAACTGTTACAATAATAGACACATAGATCCATGAAACAGAATAAAAAACCCAGAAATAAAACCATTGACCTATAACCAACTTATCTTTGACAAAGTCAACAAAAGCAAACATTGAGGAATTGACACCCTGTTTAACAAATGATGCTGGAAAAACTAGCTAACCATAGGTAGAGAAATGAAGCTAAATGTCTACCTCTCACAATATTTTTTTAAAATTAGCTCAGTTTGAATTAATGACTTAAATGTAAGACCTCAAACTGTATAAATTCTAGAAGAAAGCCTAGGAAACACTCTCTGGGACATCGGTATAGGCAATGAATTTGTGAACAAGTTTTCAAAATCAAATGCAACAAAAACCAAAATTGATAAGTGGGACCTAATTAAAGAACTTCTACACAGCAAAATAAACCATCATCAGCATAAATAGACAACCTACAGAATGGGAGAAAATATTTACAAACTATGCATCTGACAAAGATCTAATATCCAGAATCTATGAGGAACTTAAATCAACAGGAAAAAAACAAAAAATCTCATTAAAAAGTAGGCAAAGGATACAAACAGACACTTCTCAAAGGAAGACATACAAGCAGCCAACAAATGTGAAAAAATGCTTAACATCACTAATCATCAGAGAAATGCAAAGTAAAACTACAATGAGATACCATCTCACACCAGTCAGATTGTCTACTATTAGAAAAGTGAAGAAGTCATTGCTTTATTGGACTCTGATGTGGTCATGTACTGTCTGAGCTATGGCCATCACCATGTTTCTTGGTTTTGGCCCCCTTCCCTACTTGGGGAGGGAAATCTCTCTCTCTCTCTCTCTCTCTCTCTTCCTTTCTCGCTGTTTCTCTAATTTACATCCTAAATAAACCAAATTTAAAAAGTGAAGAAACAGCAGATGTTGCTGAGCTTGCAGAAAAAAGGGAATGCTCATATACTGTTGGTGGGAATATAAGCTAGTTCATTCCCTGTGGATGAACTGAAAAGAGATTTACCATTTTTACCCAGCAATCCCACTACTGTGTATATACCCAAAGGAGCATAAATCATTCTATACAAAAGACACTTGCTCTCATATGTTTATTGCAGCACTAGCCACAATAGCAACAGCATGAAACCAACCTAGGTGTCCATCAATGGTAGACTGCATAAAGAAAATGTGGTACATATATACCATGGAATACTATACAGTCATAAAAAAAGAACAAAATCATGTCCTTCGCCAGCAATGTGGATGCAGCTGGAGCCCATCATTCTAAGAGAATTAGAATGACATCATTCTAAGTGAAACAGAAAACTGTATACCACATTTTCTCACTTACAAGTGAGAGCTAAACTTTGAATACACACAGGCACAAGGATGGGAGCAATAGGCACTGGGGACTCCTAAAGGGAGGAGCAAAGGAGTGGGGGTAAGTGATAATAAACCACCCATTAGGTACCATGCTCACCACCTGAGTGATGGGCTCAATGGAAGCTCATACTTTACCATCTCGCAGTATACCTATGTAACAAATCTGCACACATACCCTTTGAATCTAAAATTTTTTTAAAAAAGAAAGATTTAACACACAAGCTGTTTCTTCCTTCTACTGGATGCCATCATATTGGCATGTGATACCTGTAAATGTAGCAGGCAAATGTAACCCAACCATACCAGTCTTTGTTTCCCTTTGGTAAACACTGAAGCCTATTTTAGGGTGTGACTCTAAAGCCTATTTTTTTAGCCTTCAGCATGAGACTTGAAGGGATCTAAAGCCCTTTAAAAATTTTAAAAGGAAAATGAAACTTCAGTCATTGCAAAAGCACCCAGGGGCTTTTGCTTTTACTTTATATATGAAATTAAAATACTTAAATTACATGAGTTTTCTTTTATTAATATTAAATATGAATTCATATTTAATATTAATAAAACAATAGAAATAATAATACACTGTATTTACTTATTAATTAATAGACTATTAAATTTAATATTAATAACATTGATTGAACTATACTAATTATATTAAGTTTAAAAATTTTAAACTTATCTTGAGATAATTACAGATTTTCAGGAAGTCGCAAAGATAGTACAGAAGTTCCTGTATCCTTCACACAATTTTCCCCAGTGGAGACATCTTATGTAACTATAGTATAATATCAAAACCAGGAACTTAACGTTGGTACATGTGTGTCTAGTTCTATGCCATTTTATAACATTAGTAGATCTGTGTAACTCCTACCACAGTCAAGATACAGAATGACTGTATTGCAACACCTTAAAGCTCTGCCTTTTTGTAGTCACACCCACTTCTCTCCCACATCCATCCCTAAACTCTGGCAACCACTAGTCAATTCTACCTCTCTATGATTTTCGTCATTTCAAGTAGACTTTCATTTGTATTTATTTGTAGTGTT